CCCTGCTGCCTCTGATGCCGCAGCAGCAGGGGAGGAGGGGAGGCTGGTGTGCAACCTCAACAGTCACCGAGGAGTGTCGTTGCTTGCGTGTGCGGTGAAAGTGCCGGCTTGCCAGCATTCACCGCGACAAGCGGAACGGCTCCCTGCCTCGTGGAACGGTTCTGACCTTTGGCCTCTCTCCCTTCCTCCGCGGGACGCCGCCCCGGCCGCGCAGACAAGCTGTGCTTCAACACCTTCTTCAACTTCGAGGACATGCAGGAGATCACCAAGCACTTCGTGGTGTGTCACGTGGACGCCCCGGGGCAGCAGGCCGGAGCCTCGCAGTTCCCCCAGGGGTAGGTACCGGAGGCCCCCCAGCCTGTCCAGGCTGCTGTTCGGGGAGGGGCCCGGCTCGTCGTGGCCAGGGGCTCGGCCTGACTGCCTGGCTCCTCTCCCTGGTTCGTAAGGTGGGTCCTGCCGGGAACGCCCGGCCGGTGTCCTCGGCTAGGAGCTGCTGCAGTGCAGCGCCCGTGGGACTTGGCCTCCCTCAGCCTGGCCTAGTCTCTGCTGGGACCCTTCCAGCCGCAGGCCTTGGCTCACACCTGGGGAGGGAGGGGAGGAGCAGGACGGGGATGCCTGTGTGTGCCGGAGCGGGGAGGGGAAGGGCTGTGGCAAAAGGGGGGCCAGGCTGTGGGGAGGGGGAGAGGAAAAGCTCTCCCTCCCTAGAGGCATGGTGTGTGGGTCGGTGCCTACAGCCCCCCTGGCTCTCCCAGCCCCCCCAACCAGGGCTGCCCCTGCGTGGCCTTGCCCCCAGCCCTCCTGTTCACGCTGTGCCCGTCGTGCCCCCAGGTACCAGTTTCCATCCATGGACCAGTTGGCCGCCATGCTCCCCAGCGTGGTCCAGCACTTCGGGTGAGTGTCGGGGGCCTCCGGCCGTGTGGCGGGGTGGGGGTTGGGATGCGCAGGCGGCGCAGGGCTGGGAAATCGGGAACAAGCCGCCCCGCCTCCCCCCGCACTGCGCACTCAGAGCTGGGACTAAGGACGCCAGGTAACCGGGGGGTTCCTGGCTTCCCAGCCCGATCCCTGCTCCTGCTCCGGCTGCCAGACTGAGCTGGCCCCGGGTCGCTGCGCAGACCAGAGTCACTTCCCAGTGCAAGGGAATGCCCTGGAAACACCCCTCTGGGCCTGTCCCCTTGGGCCCGTGTCTCTGAATCCAGCCCCCGTCGGCAGGAAGCAGCCGATCGGTGCCCTGTGGAGAACAAGTCTCCAGGTCCTGCCTCACCAAAGCCACCCTCGTGCCTGGCCCTGGCCGGCTTCCTTCAGGGCCCCCCCCG